TCTTTTTTTCGTTGAGTATCCTTTCCTACACATTCCTTTATTTTTATGTGTCATTCCTTTATAACATATAAACTCGGTGATTCATATCTTAGTTGACTTGATCTCACCAATTTTTTTCAGAAAAAAAAAAACTATACATACATACATACATATATATATATTAGATCAGTGTGGCATACACATTAGAAAAGTAAATAGTCATGAGCAGCGACGATAATAAATTTTACTCCCCACTTTTCAGTAAAAATGGTTTATCAAAGTCGAAGCGACCGGTTTCACGGATCTCATTGCCTGAAGAACGTCAACAAGAACGTGAACAATATTTCCACAACGTACCACCCGAAGCAAATCTAGAATTTTCTCAAATTATATTGTCCCAGAATCATTTCCAATCCCTGTTACCCGAAGAACATCAACAAAAATTTCGATCCTATAATCGTCCAGAATCCTATGCCACTGACAAAACAGATCTTACATGCGTATCAACTGATCATTCAAACAATTTTAAACCATTAAACCCTCCAAACCCAATTCATGTTAATACCGATGGATCTCAACAAAACCTAATACCCATACATCCTAATTCTAATTCTGAAGCTCCACCTCCTACTATTAGTTATCCGGTCTATGATAACAAAAGTTTTAACTTTCTTGGAGGTGACCCGTCCAATCTTTCCAGTAAAAAATTCGGCAAAAGTTCGAAAAAGTCCAGACGCAAACTCTGGATCTTTCTTGCATTACTGTTCGTCGTGATACTACTAATCATTGGTAATATATTTTCTTTATACAATATAAGAGTCGATATTAATTTTATGATATATACATATCGATATATAAATATATTTTTTCCTTTTTGAAATTAGTTATTTCAGTTATAGTAGTCAAAGTAAATAATGCTGCCGCCCAAAATTCACAATCAAATAACGATTTAGCATCTGCCAATAATTTAACTGGAACTAATTCTACTACTGGAAGTAGTCCTATTAATGATTCATCATCTACCATAACTAATTCAACTGACATTAACCCGAGCGGAAGTTTACCTACAGTTCCTACTCCGACCGAATCCACCCCTACAGTTTCGGTTGCTCAGATTCCTAGTAGTTGTCCTTCACCAGTTGCCTGCACTATTTCTGGACAGGTATTTTTTTAATATATTAATATATATATTATTTGTTTATTTTTAAATAAAATTAATAATCTTTATTTTTAGGTTCTTTGTCCACCTATAGATGGAAGTCAATGCAATTATTATTGTGCTTATTCGGTACATATATATTTATATTTATCTAAATTTTTATTTCAAATTTACTAATTTTTATTACTATATATATTTTTTAGTGTTTAGGTAATGGTGATAGTAGTAATCGTGTTAATGACGGTAATGGTGATAATAGTGATGATGGTGATGATGGTAGTGGTGATGATGGTGATGATGGTGATAATTAGTTCATTTAACTATAACTATCTATATTACTATATTACTGTACAGTACACATAAAATTGGTATTTTAATGCACTGCCTGTTAGAGGCCTGCACAGGCCGGGCCGAATTTAAAAAATTTAAAAAATTTAAAAACTTAGTAAAATTACGGACAGGCATGTCAAAAACATAGTAAAATGCGGGTCAACCTTTTAAAATCAAAAATTTTATTTCGCGGTACAATTTTTTAGAACCATGCTGACCCATACTACCATTGTTTAATATTACTTCGACGATTCGCTAGATTATGTATGTCTCTTTGTATACTGGTTTTTTGTATTTCTGATTCCAGTTTTTAATTTTTGACATATTATATAAAATAAATACTTATATATGTAATAAGATGATTGTACGTACTATGATTTGTTGTCAATGATTAGAGTTTGGTTCCGTATTTCGTTTTGAATCCGAATTTATTTAATTAGTGATATTCAGCTTCGAATTTACAGCTGTTCTCATAAATTCTGGATCAAATTAAAATTCGGCTCGTTACCCGGTTTCGTCCTGTAAATTACCTAACTCTCCGGAAACTACATCGTTGCAGACTGAAAGTTCGAAGATAGCGAGTAGTTTCTGGAGTGTAGATAATTTGCTGAAAAGATTTCGGGTAACGAATAAATTTTTAATTTGTCCCAAAATTTGAGAACAGCTGTAAATTCGAATTTGAAATTTAAAATTCGAATTGTTAAATCCAATAATTAATAATTACTTTATCGTTATTGGCCAATAGCATCATTGGATGTACAGTAAGCAACAAAAGTAACGCCCGATTTGTGGATCACTGCACGTGGGCAAATAAAAGTGCTGTATTTACCTATACTTTCATATTTTGGGGCAATTTTTTTTTTATTTTTGCTTCTTTGATGTCGAAAGAACCAAGCACAACAAAAAAAAAAATTTTTTTTATGAAAATACCACAAACCCAAATAACAAATAAAGAGAAAAGAATGATCCTTGCATATATCAGTTTAATGAATACTAAACAAGTGGTTTACAAAATTGGCCATGACTTAATGACAGTTTTAAGGTTTTTAGTGAAGTACACTCCTCTGCCAGTGATTACCGGAATTTTCAAAATTATATACGATCGACGGCTATAACTCATGTCATACAATAATTTTTTTTGGGACAAATCTCTTACTATAAATATACAATTTTTTTTTTTTACAGTTGCGCCAGATGCCGGTCTATTTGACCATTTTTTTTTTTTTTTTTTAGAAATTTTTTTTTTTTTTATAATGAAAGAAAGGAAACAACTTAACGAGAAACAATGTGCCCAAATTGTTGGCGCTTGGCGGAGTGGTGTGCGGCCAGCAAAGATCACACGAACCTTAAACTTACCAAAAAGCAC